AAATTATTTGTTCGATTCTAATTTTATCAAATTCAATTGTTATATATGACTCAAAAATGTTTACTATCTTTCTATTCAGTTTTTATTTGTGTAAATTTACAAGAAGATTCAATAAAATTAAAACTAAAATAATTAATTTATGATTTATATATGATCAAAAATTATAATTTTAATCAAATTAAAAAAATTGTTAAATAACAATCATATAAATTTTAATATAACAAGTTTAAGAAATAATAAATAAGTTAATCCAAGTTATAACTTTCTTTGCTTTAATTTTAGTAAATAATTAAAATTAATTTGATCTTATTAGCTTAGATATTCTTTTCCATTTTCGGAGTACTAATTATAAGAGGCTACATATAATCTCCATTATATCTGAATATGAGTTAAAATTCATTTATACGTAAATTCGGTAAAACCTACTTGATTATTTGTTTCTTAATTATTAAATTTAGGATTTCGATGATGTTCTAAATTATTTAAATGCCAAAAAATTAATAATTAATAAATAATTTATTTTTTATAGTATTAATTTGTCCATATTAAAATTAAAGTGAAGTTTTCCCCCTGATACCTAAAATGGCAATGTAGAAATCTTTAAAACCAAGTATAAATACATTTAAAGTTGCAAAAAATATCAAACAATTATAAACCCCATACTTTTGAATTTAGACTAATGGATAGTTTAAATAACTAGAATAGATTAAAAATAAAGGGAAAATTATTTTAATAGTTATAAAATTAAATGATGGTATAAAGTTTTTAACTATATTAAATTTAGATGTTAATATTTAAAGATATTTGAGGGAAAAAGTTAATAATTAATTTTTGCAATATGGGATTTATATGTGTTCTTTAATTAAGAAATTAGAATTAATAATCAAAATTAACGATAAAAATGAAAAAATAATGTAATTCTTGCTCTGATTCTTTGACATTAGATGAATTATTAGAATTCTAGTGCAGAATACTTAGATAAATATAAGATAAATCAAGAGAAAGCAAATACGGAAATAGATTTATTTGTATCCATCTTTAAAACCTCTCTCCTTGAAGAGTGGCAAAAGTCCTTGCATTTATAGAGCGGAGACAAATCTCTTAATTAATCCTTCCAAGACTAAAATTTAGATTCTCTTATTTATTGTCACCTTGACATCAAATAAGGCAAAATATTGAAAATAGCTGTATATTATTAATACCAGAACATTTTTTAATTAATTATGTTGAAAGATAATCTTAAATACTTCCTTGATGCATATTCTTTTGTCATCCATATGGCACTTTTTTATATCTAACAGTTTCAAAAGAATTTAAGCAAGATAGGAGATATATTTAAACTAAAATTAATCTAATAATTTAATAGTAGATTATTTTAGTAAAATAATTAAAATTTTAAAATTATTTAAGTAGTTTTATTTAATTTGAAAACACTTAATATTCTTATCTTAGTTTACTCATTTTTTGCTTTTCAAAGATATATCATAAACTCATTGATAGACCTTAATTATTTCAATAGAATTATAAATTTACCCAATTATTTCAATTTTTCAACTTCAAAATTAAAATGTAAAAATACTTTCTAATATATTAATTCCATCAATTTTAGTATGAAGAAAAAACTTAAATAAGAGGATATAACCAAATACATGCCTTTTAAAAAAGTATAAGGAGAAAAAAGATAAGGTTAATCTTGGATTCTTGCTCCTCAATATCAATTTCTACTTCAGCAATAATAGTTTTTTAAGGTTAGGCTTTGGGAAATTATGAAAAGTCTTTTGTATAACAGTTTATTTTTGTTGAATTCCAACACTCATAAACTTTTTATGTATTAAAAAACTTATTTAATTAACAAAACTAACCAATATTTTATAAATTTGATTATTTGATATTAATTTAAAATTTTTGAAAATATCTATATTAAATGCATTTTTTATATTATTATCTTAATTTTAATCTCTCAATATACTATTTAAATAATCAATTATTTTTATTGATTAAATTAAGAATATTTTGATATTTTAACTCAAAAGTTTAATCAGAAATAGTATTCATAGTTTAAATTTATAACTATATCAATTCGAGCCTATCAACTTCAATTATTTTATTTCGAATCCTTAAAACATCTATTAAATATATATCATATTCTTTTTTATAATTTACCAGAAAATAATCTATACAATTTTAACTTAATAAATTGATTTGCTTCTTCACTAAATAAGTAACATTATCTCTTAACTTATAGTATGCATGATTATTATTACTACCTTCCTAAAATCTTCAATTCTTTTTTTCGTTGATCTTATATCAAAAAGTCAAGAAAAAAATTAGATGATTAAAATGAAATAAGTAAAAATCAATTTATAAAAAATTTCAAAAATGATGAAAAACTGTAATTGTTAGTAAATTAAACAAATAATTTATTAATTAATAACAATTAATATGATAAACTTTAAAAAATATATATGAATTTTTCAAATTTACTTTATCAAAGAATAGATTTACTATTGTAACATAATATTACAATACTTTTATTAAATATACTGAAGAATTAAACAGATAATTATAAATTATTATATCTAATATTTATGCGTTATTCATATTTCATTGTATTTTCTAATCTGAATTTCATATGAACCTCTATCCCAAGTTATTAAATACTACCCATCATCACTCATACATCCATATAAATTATAATTTCCAAATTCAATGGATTATTCAGTTTTAAACTCTCCATTTTCCTTTGTCCTTATCAAATTCACATACTTTCCATTTTTATTTACAACCAAGCATTTTGATTTTATATACTATTAAGGAAATAAACAATTATCACTTCCACCACCTTTAACAAGAATATCTTTTGTCTTTAAATACTATTTATTAGTATTATTCATTTCATAAACATGCATTTATTCTTTACAATTTGGTTAAAATATGAATACATTATCATTTATAAAGCATATTCTCTTACCATGTGTTTCAACCTTTATCTTTTAGATTACAATCCATTTAGAATCCTATTATGATTGTTCTATTATTAATATTTAATTATCATATCCACATGAAATCACTTTATTCTATTGTTAATTTATACTTAATCCATATACACTACTAGTATGATCTGTGATAGTTTATTAACATAGCCATTATTGATTCTACTTTATCCAAAATTTAATAGTCTTATCACTACTACCTGAAATGATCAAATCTTCATTATTATTCAAAATTAAACAAAATATTGTTCCACAATGTCCATTTAATTTCTATTAGTTAATCCATTAATTGTTTTGATTCATCGACCATATTATGATTGAATTATCTTGACTTCCAGATATAAAGTGATTAGATTTATTCATAAACTTTAAAGTATTTACATCATCTTAATGTTCTCTCAGAAGTTGAGTTTGTTTCAACACTTCTTATTTAAATTCAAATACTTCAATATAACTATTACATCCAGCTATTACAATTGAACAATCTTTATTAATATCTATTGCATAAAATTCATTATGATATTGAATTGAATTATTCTATCACAATTGATAATTGAATGGTTTAAATATTAATTAAGGAGATATTTATTAATTTAAAATTTAGTTAATTTATTATTATTGAAATTATAATTAATTTTCTTTGAATTTGATTATTTCTTCAAGTGATTGCTTTTGAATGTTTTCTTTTTATTAAATTAAATTGCATTAATTTATAAATTCTTAATTAAGACCTTCTTCTTTCTTTTTTACTTGATTTTGAATATAAACTTTGATTAAAGATGCTATTTAAGGGATCAATTAATTATTAAATTATTTATTGTTTATATTTGGTATTAACAATTCAGGTAATGAATTATGTTATTAATAGTTTCTTGATTCTTATTATTATTGGAATCTTTAATTAAACATCTTTTCAATATCATCCAAACTCTAATCAAGTAAAGAATCAATTCTATTGAATGAGGACTAATTGGCTAATCCAAAATTACATAAATACTTCTATTTTTTCTTGCATCACTTTGATACATTCTTCTATTTTTATTGATGTCTCATTAATAAATGATTCTTAATGTTAGTGCATTGTGAAGGATTTATTAAATTATTTAGGTTTTTTAAACATTCTATGTTTCTATTAAAATGAATATATTTATAATAATGGATATATCAAAAATTAATGAATTTCACCATTAAATTTTTATTTTTTAACTTTATTACCTTAATTTATTTCGTAAAGAATTATTTTATTATTTATTGACTCTGATATTTTGATAATCTAAAGTAAGGAATCTACTCTCAATAAGTAGGTCAATTTAATAAAGGTATGAATTTATGCTTTTAAGTTATTAAACTGATAACTTATACATATAATTGGAATCATTACAGAATATACGAATGCTATAACTTTAGATTAATGAACAAACGTAGATTTTAAGATATTCTGATATGAA